GGCTTTCTGCTCCCGTAAAGATTTACAGCCTCGGAAACCCTGTACAGGGTCGCTATGGGTCGGAACCGACTCGAAGGCACTTAACAACAACAACAAGGTAACTGTAAATCCTGGTATGGTACTGCCGAGTAATACACGGGACTGCAAGGTTGGTGGTTCAAACCCACTAGCTACTCCTTCGAAACCCTAGACAGGGTCACTATGAGTTAAAACCAATTCGATGACACTTAACAGCACCATGTTAAGTGGCTCCAATTAGGTTTCGACTCATAGTGACCCTGTAGTATACTGTTTTCACCGAGCAGCTGGTGAGCTTGAACCGCCAGTCTTGCAGTTCAAACCAAACTAGCAGTCCAGCGCATTAACCCACAGCACCACAGCTGAGCTTCACGTGTTGTTGTTTCAAACTGATGACCCTGAGGTTAGCAGCCCGATTCGTAACCACTACGCTAACCAGAGCTCCTTTGTTGTTATATGCCATGGAGTCGGTTCCAACTCATAGCGACCCTGTACAGGGTTTCTGAGGCTATAAATCTTTACGGGAGCAGTAAGCCTCATCTTTCTCCCACGGAACAGCTGGTTGTTTCACACAGCTGACCTCGAGGTTCACAGCCCGATTCATAACCACTACATTACCAGAGTTCCTGAGAGCTCCTTTAGCACACCCAAAACAAAACCACTTGCCACTGAGCTAATTCTAACTAATTTCAGAGTAGAACTCTCCTCCATAGGACTTTCAGTGGTTGATTACCTGAAAGTTGATCACCTGGACTGTTTTTCTGAGGCAGGTTTGTCTGGACTGAACCTCCCACATTTTAGTTAGCAACTGAATGTTTGGAGTACTGGTGTGGTGCTGTGGGATAAAGCACTGGACCACAAGGTCAGTGGTTCAAACTCACCAGTAGCTCCATGGAACCCTATACATTGTCACTATGAGTCAGAACTAACTTGACTGCCTTTAACAATACGCTCAGTGGAGGCCAGTGGTGTCTTAGGACAAGCACTTGACCACAAGGTCGGTGTGAACTACAAGGCTGGCGGTTCAATCTCATCAGCCACTCCCCGGAAACCCTGTACAGGGTCACTATGAATCGGAACCGACCAGACAACACTTAACAACAACAGTGTGTAAGTTTTTAAAAAGCAAAACTTGATCTTATAACTCTCATTGCTTAAAAATTATATTTGTTTGTTTTTCTTGCCTTGATTATGATTGATACCAGATCAGCCTTTTGGCACCAGGTCCTCTGGCTTCATCTCCTGACACTCCCCTTCACATTCCTCGTACTTGGGCCAGACAGTTCTGTTCATCTGCTGCTCAGACTCCAGCTCCCACCTCTTTGCTGCTGTGGCTCAAATGCCTCAGACTTAAGGTGCAACCTATGCACCCTGGGATGAAATGATGCCTGGGCCTGAGGCAGCCCTGTGATTGTTATGGATTGTGATCAACAGGGTTCTCTCCAGCTGGTTTGTAGAAGTAGATTGCCAAACCTTGCTTCCTACTCTATTGTAATTTGGACGCTCTGTTCAGCATCATAGCAGCACACAAGCTTCCAGAGACAGCTGGGTGGGCTCCCAAATGGAAGTTTAGACTTACCCTCTCTGCTCCTGCTCCCCTTTGTTAATGTCCTCTCCCATTCAAAACTCTGCTTACGTGTTCCTCTTCTTTCTAATAAGCCTCTTTCTATTTATTTGAGTTCCCTGGGCCCACTTCTACCACGAGTCAGTACCAACTCGATGGCACCTAACAACAACAACAACTTCTACCACAGATGGAGGCCTGGTGTGGCACTGTGGGATAAAGCACTAACTAGACCACAAGGTCAGTTTGAACCACAAGGTCGGTGATTCAAACTTACCAGCTGCTCCTTGGAAATCCTACAGAATTGCTCTAAGTCAGAACCAACTCGACAACACTTAACAACACATACAACTTCTACCATAGCCCTTGCCACACTGCAAAGCCCTTGCCAACATCAGCAACTACTGATGTTCCTGTCTCTTTACCTGGAACTGTCTGGAACAGTGTAGGCAAACATTTCATTCATTCATTTAGCAAATGTTTAAGTCATTATCCCTGCCAAGGACTGTTCCAGATGCTGGGGATTCAGCAGTAAACGAGATAAAAATCCTGGCAGGGAAAGAGGGGTCTTTGATTCTAGCAGGGAAAGCAAATATATACAAAGTAAAAAGATTCAAAATATGTTACATAACAATGGTGAGAAAACCCTGGAAGGGGGTAGTGGGAAGTGTGTGTAATGTAGTAGTAAGGACAGGTATACAGGGAAGGTCTCATTGAGGAGCCATTTGAATAAATACCAGAACAACATGAGGGAGGAGCCCTGTAACTATCTGGGGGAAATAACTCCAAATAAAGGCCACAATACAGTTATTCTGAGTAGGAGCAGGCTAGGTGAGCTCTGGGAACAGCCAGGAAGGTCCCTCTGCACAGAGCAAGTGAGGTTGGTGAAGAGCGGAGGATCTTAGGCATGGGAATGACTTTCTTTGGCTTTCACTCTGAGGGAAATGGAGAGGGTTTTTTGTCATATACAAGGATAAATGGAGAATCTTAATAAATTAAATTCTGAGGAGTAACAAAATCATTTGGGAGTTCCTACACAAACATCGGGCTATTAACCTTAAGGTTGGCAGTTCGAAACCACCAGCCATTCCGTGGGAGAGAGATGAGGCTTTCTGCTCCTGTAAAGATTTACAGCCTCAGAAACCCCATGCAGGGTGTCACTATGAGTTGGAATTGACTCCATGGTACTTAAAAACAACAACAACACACACACACATATTTGGAGTTCTGATGTGTCACTGTGGGTTAACGTGCTGGACTCATTGGTTCAAGCTCACCAGCCCCTCCAAGGAAACCTTACACAAGGTAACTATGGGTCGGAATCAATTCAATGGCATTAACAACAACACAAACACTTAAGCACTCAACCACTAGCTGCAAGATTAGCTGGCAGTTGGAACCCACTCAGATCCATCTTGGAAGGCAGATTTGGCAACTGCTTCCATAAGCCTTCATAACCCTATGGAGCAGTTCTCCTCTGCACATACGAGTTACCATGAGTTGAAATCTACTCATCACCAACTAACAACTTTCTCCTCAATTCCCAGACATGGCTTTTTGCTTGGAGAGAATGTTGCAGTTCTCACCCACATCTAGTAAGAAGGCCCTTTCCCAAAGGGTCTTACCTTAAACAGAGCAAGTTCTAACTGAATTCAAAGCTGTAAGAATCAGCACTAGACCTGAGAAGGGCAAATACGTTTTCCTTTTCTTTCCTATTCCCCAAAGATGCACAATAAACAATACAGACTTTGTCTATTTTCCATAAGAGGGCAACAACACCCAAGGAGAGGGCTCTGGTTGATCTGATACCTTGTAACCTCATATTCTTTAGCACAGCCCTGAAAATACACATGCCCAAAGTTCAAACTCAGTTTTCTTTAATTAATGTATTTAATGATTGTGGTTCTTTCCTGTAGCACTTACATTCAATTGGATTTTAGACTAGCAGATATGTTTGTTGGCTGAAAAAATGGACTCAGCTTCCAACTCACCTTTCATACTTTTCTGGACAGTGGTATTTCCTGTTAAAAGTTTAGACCATTTTATTGCTCTTCTAGTGAGTATTACCAGATAGGTGGAAAAAAATTCTTCATAAGATGCATAATCAAAGTCTTCAGGCCTTTCAAATCCATATGGATCAACCCTACAAGGAAACCAACCAACAAAAAGTAGATTAGGAATAAAGTTTCCGTACACACACGTGACCCATTGAAGTCAAAGCTCATTCCAAAGCGCAAAATCAAACATATAGTGCAATCGATTCTCTAAGCTTCCTTGCCCACTCACCACAATTTTTTTTCAGCTACGCATCAGTTTTTATGGTTGCGGGCTGCTGTGGAAAGGAAATGGACAAGGAGGCTGCGTGGGAAAAAGCACGCTGACTTCAGAGCTGGCCAATATTAACTGTAACCATTCTAACAGCGGAGGAGCGCCACTGAAAAGACGAGGCGGAGCCGGGTAATAAGGTAGGCTCCCTGCCAGTCATTAGTCCCGGACAGGCCAAGTCGCCGACCCGGGGAGCCTTGGCTTGCGCCTCTGGTACCTCCCCCGTCGGGGTCCAAGAGGAAAATGTTTTTTGCTGACTACGGAGTAGTGGCTGTGATTCCCAGCCAAGGGACAGTAAGCGGCGCGCAAAGCATTAGCAGCGGGGGCCGAGGCTTGGCACGCACACACACACACACACACACACACACACACACACACACACGCACGCACGCACCTCGCGGGAGGCTCAGCTACCAGTCCCCAGCCGCCAGCTCCGCGCAGGGGCCGCCCAGTCACCTACCTGGGGATCCGCTCCCGCGCCGCTGCCGAAACCGCGTCTTCTCGGCGCCTCACCTTTGCCCGCGCAGGGTCCATGCAGCTGGGACTCACGGGGAGCTGCGAGGAGGGGACGCTCTCCACCGGTGAGGGCCTCTGAGCAGCCTGAGGGCGGCGAGGAGAGCCCGGGGGTGGAGGCGGCGCTTTGACCGCGCAATGGGCGGCCCCACCCGGTGCAGTCCGGCCTGATCCTCAGCCACGGTGGCGGCGGATTCTCCCGGAGCCAGGCGGATCCGAGGAGGCAGGGGGGTGAGCGGATCCAAAGTTCATCTCCCGGGACTCCAGGAGCTCATCGTCTTCTTCCGGGCCTGCAGCGGCCGCCAGGAGGCGATGCGAGGCGGACAGGCGCTGAGCCGGGGGCGCCCGGGGCGGGGGCGTCCGGCACGGCCTCTGCGCGCTCCATGCGGCCCCCTCGGCACCGCCGCTCTCGCCGCGGGCGGGCAGGAGGGCATGCGTACTGGGGTTCCGCTGCACCTGACCCCGCGGCACCTGAGGCCAGCGTTGGCGGCGCAGCCACAAGCAGTTCCCAGGGGAGCTGGAGCAGGCGGGTCGTCAGTGTCGCGGGGGGAAGAGAGGAGGCCGCGGGAGCCTGGAGCGTGGGGGGGGGAGGCGGCAGGATCCGAGCGGGAGCGGTGCGCGCGGGGCCAGGGTGCGGGAGGGTGCGGAGTTGTGGTGCGGAGGCAGTCTGGAGGGCCTTGTCCTCCTGGGAACAGTGGATGGGCTCTGCTCCCAGGCTTCTGAAGGCCCCGGGCTGCTGGTTGACAAGGGGCAGACAGGGTGGGGTTCAGCCAGCGAGGGGGATGGGGTGGTTCAGCAAAGGTTAGGAAGAAATAAACCCAACATTTATTCTTTATGTTATTCCTTAAAACTGTCGTGTTCGTACAAATCTAAAGGCAAATCTAAAAGGTCACAGTCTTGACATTTTTTCCTCTTTGTATGAAAAATGATCAGGTCTTAATTTTTATTTGCATCCTTTTAGCCTACTTTTCAGAGCCAAAAACAACTGGTCAATGATTAATGTATAGTCCCTGTACTTCAGTAACTTCTGAGAAGCACCCACACTGGGAAAACTTGTCGTATTTTTGCTTTCCTCGGAACACCTCTTACCATGGCCCAGGCTTTTAACTAAAAGTCTGAAACAGAAAGAAGAAAGGAAGCAGCGAGTTAGATTTCTTCTCCTCCCTCCACACCCTTAATCAAATCCTGGTTCTGCCAGTGACCCAGGCATTGGAAAATTCCAAATTGTGCCAGAAAACCACATTATCCGTAAAATTAGCCCAGCAGATGGAGTTTCCGAAAGGAGACTAACATTTTGATTCTCAAAATGAGTTTGTTAGGAATCATGGCTCACGGAAAGCCAGGAGAGGGAGGAAGAAGGGTTTTTTTTGCTGCCTTCTATCCCACACTTGTGTTTTGGAGCTGTGAGTCAGAACTCTGGGTGCTCACTGAAATCTAACATTAACATGATCTCATAGCTCCGTTTGCCTTTTATTTAGGAGGACAAAAATGCCATCAAAAATAAAGCACCCACCCATTGCCACTTAGTTGATTTGGACTCATAGGGACTCCACATAGGGTTTCCAAGAAGATAAATCTTTTTGGAACAGATAACCTCATCTTTCTCCTTCAAAGCGGCTGGGTGGTTTGAACTGCTGACCTTGCAGTTAGCAGTCCAGCTTGTGACCTACAGCGCTATGAACCGATGCCCTGTCTTTGAATCGATTCCAACTTATAGTAACCCTGTTCTGAGGCTGTAAATCTTTACAGGAGCCGAAAAAGGAGGCATGGTAACTATAAAATTTGTGTATTCATCATCTGTCCTTTGTATTCCAGGCATTCTT